TTAGTATGAACTAGTTTCCTCTTGTAGCAGCAAATTTAGGTCTACGATGCTAAGTTTGTTTTCAAAGTTGTGGAAGATTTGTTCACAACCTTGGATGAATGGAATCTGTTGCTTCCTCCATGGGCTCACTTGAACCATTCAACAGACAAGCTAATGATGTTGTATTGTCCAACACACACACACACACAGGTTTTGTCTATCCTTTTATTTTATGTCTGCATTACAGGTTTAATTACTTTTGAAATGATGTTATGACAGGTTGAAAGTATAGTTTTGAGTATCATTTTAATGTTTTCCAGTCCAAATGATGAATCTCTAGCATACGTGGAAGCAGCAGTAAATGCCACTCAGTGAAAGTCCTTTATCTTAGTGTGTTCAGTCAACTAAATGCTCAAGTTAAATTGTTCATGTTGTTTATGATTTTATGATTACATATTGTTTGAAGTAATGTTGAGTGAATCATCATCACGATATACTAGGTGGTAGTAATATGGGTACCCTGTACTGAACTGTTTCAGAAATTTCTATTTCTTCAATGCCGCCAATGTCCAGACCAAGAGAGATCTTTGTCTAGTTAGGATTTCTGCAATATAGAATAGAAAAAGCATGCGCTTTGTAGGTGGTGAAATATTTTGTTACTTGTGATTAAATGCTTACATAGGTGGAGGTTGCAAGAGTTAAGAGTTTTGGGCAGATTAATTAGTAGTACCATCAGTTATATTTGTTTTACTTCGAAGAGATGTATCAGACTTCAAAGCTTTAATATGGTAGGTTATATGCCCAAGTTATCATAGAGGAAAGGAAAAGATATATATGGTATTGTTATCTCTTTTGTGAAAATCTTTTGTTTGAAATGAGTGTTTAAACTTTGTTTCAATGGGGGTTTAAACTTTGCTCTAATGCTGTACACCCAACATTTTTTATTGTATGCAAAATGGGGGTTAATTTCATGGAAGTGAAGACTTCCAATGTTGGTTACCACATTGATGAGTAGGCATGTAGATATCCTTGCTCAAAGACTTCAGCTTAAATATCATGAAGTTCTTCAAAATTTTATTATTACCCAATAATTCTAAGATTATATTGATATTGTATACGAAATGGTCCCCTTACGTCTTTAAAAAAAATTTTTTATTGGCCCCCTATTTCAAGAGCATTTTTACAATGTAGATGGGATGATCCCTTAAGTTTTTGAAAAATTCTTTTAGTACCCTATTTCAAATGTAATTTTACAATGCATAGGGAATGGTCCTCAATTATTTCACATATTATGTAATACCATCGATTGTGTTGATTTGATTTTATAATATGTAAATGTCATTCGTTGTCTTTTCAATTATAAAAATAATGAAAGTAGATTTTTTTTATAGAGGCATGAAAGCCTTACCATTCTTTCAATAACCGATCTATGCTGGAGAGGCCTCTTGGGAAATACATAATTGGGATGGGATGGGATACAATGGGGTTAACTGCAACCTATCCCCATTCTGAATTATATAATCAATTCCTCTCCCATTGCCATCCTTACTCTGTTTTTATGTGCCTCAAACCTAGCCATAATTCATTTTGGAGTCTAATTGTTATATCTAATTTTGGTGTGTGGCGTATGGTGTAAGTTTGTTTATCTATGTGATGGGAAGTTTAGCAGTAACTATGTTGTTGACTGTTTGAAATTCATTTCTCAACACCACAAGATTAGTGTATTTTTATGTACTGATATTGATTAGTTGTAATTTAACCTTGCTAATTTGAAGTGGAGTTTATATAGATCATGTTAATTTTACTTGTGATTTAATTATACAGGTTGCAAAACGAGTGTTAGAAATAATAAGTCGTTGTGGTCACAAAACTGACTTCTTTGATGGCTTCTATAATGTGTGGATTTTTGGTATGCACATCATTTGCTGCTGTGGTGGCTTTAAGATTTTTGCTACATTAAGTTAAAACTATATTCATAACTTGAGGATAGTGTAGACACCCCATTTTTGACCGACCTTGAGCGCTTGGTGATATTGCATATCGTGCTCGTTCAGAAGTTTCAGAGTCTTGGCTGCGAGCCCTGCCTCCGGATTTCCAAACCCTATTCTGTGCCTTGCCTCGGTTTGCGAACTACGCTCGGTTTTCTCTGTTTCTTTTCCTAAGGGGAGGGAGAGGTCCCGTAGACCATCTCTCAGTGGCCGTGGGCTACATTTTGTGGCTGTAAGCCATTTTGCCCATTTCGGAGCCCGGTTCCCGATTTTCGGAACCGTCAGGCCGTGTGCCTCGGTTCGGGACCGCTTAACCATCTCCTATTGCTCCGGTTTTTGGCATACGTCTTATTTGCTCCATTTTGAGGGACACTGAGGTCTGAGAGACCCACTTCGTGGACGGATGCCACTTTCAATGCTCAACAGGCAGTTTTCGGGGCCCCGAACTGCGCGTTTTGGCCCCCGAACATTCGTTTTGCATCGGTTTTCGTTCATTTTTGACAGGTACCTCTGTTTCATCACCAGGAAGGCCGTAGAAGGGTGGGAGACCAGAAATTGTTTCAGCAACTAGTTATATATCCTCCAGCGCCCTCTGACGCCCGTTTTTCTCACTTCCAAGCCAATGTTGAACACCCTTGGGCCATTTTCTTGAACTTTTAACCACATATTTGTGATGTACACACATGGGAGGACCCTAAAAGTTAGTGGCCGGCCAGTAATTCCACCTGACCCTTTTGAACCCTTCCTAAAAATGGCCTATTCTCTCTCCTGTTTTACAGTTGACAATTTTGAACCATAGGGTTGTGTTGAGGGCACCTGGGAGGACACTAATTTGTGGTGGCCGGCCATTAATCTCACTTGACCTTTTTGAACCTTGGCCGGCCGGCCATAGGGAGTGGCCGGCCGGCCACCTGCAGCTCCAAAAACTAGCCGGCCATTATCCTTGCAATGTGTACGTTGCAGCTATACACTTTTTTTCTCCCAAAAAACCTGTATCCGGGAGGACAACTTTTGGGGGAAAACTTGGCTTGTTTTCCCCCCATTTCTTTCCCTCCTTTTCCCCCCTCTTTGGTCCATATACTTGGCTGGCCAGGTCTGTGATAAGGGTTACAAAAAATTCCCTTAAGAGCTTTGGCATCATAGCTCCCTCTATCTCTCTCATTTCCTCAAAAATTCCTAAGTCCTACACCTCATTTCTTCATCACCACCAAGCACCACCACCGCTACTCCATTTCCAGAAGTTTGGGGAGCTTTCCAGCAGCTAAGAGGCACCACTTCTCAAGCCAAGAAGCAACCAAAGACTTGTCTTCAAGGGTGAGTACCATTTCCCCCTTTTTGAGCTTATTTTTGCAACATTTCTTAGCCATATATGCTTATTGTTTTGAGCTCCGGCCCTAACTGAAAGTGGCCTTATTTGAGCTCCTTTTCACTTTTTTGTTCAGGGCCTTAAGAGCACATGTGTTTTCAAAAACAAGATATCATGTTAAGTAGTGGCCGATCTTTGAT